GCAGGCAGATACACACACACCGGGGTGGGCGTACGATCAGGCAGGCAGGCACGCAAGCACTGACAGGCGGAAAGGCAGGCGGGCAGGCGTACAAGCAGGCAGGCAGGTGGGCAGGCAGACAGGCACGCAAGCACTTAGGCAGGCGGGCAGGCAGGCGGGTGGGTGGGTGTACGAGTAGACAGGCAGGCCCGCCCACACCGGGGAGTYCGGCAAGCTGGCAGGCAGGCACGCACTCTCCYGGACGAGAGGGTAGGCAGGCAGGCACACACACACCGGGGTGGGCGTACAAGCAGGCAGGCAGGCTTGCACGCAAGCACTTAGGCGGGCGGGCAGGCAGGCAGGTGGGCGGGTGTGTGCGTGCCTGCCTGCTCGCCTGCTCGAATACCCTGCCTGCCTGCTCGTCCTGGTGCGTGCGTGCCTGCCTTCCAACTCGCCCGCCCGCCCCGGTGCATGCAGGAATTCCTGTCTACTCGTACATCCACCCACCCGCCTGACTACCCGCCTGCCTAAGTGCTTGCGTGCATGCCTGCCTGCCCACCTGCCTGCCTGCTTGAACGCCTGCCCGCCTGCCTTTCCGCCTGTCAGTGCTTACGTGCCTGCCTGCCTGCTTGAACGCCTGCCCGCCTGCCTTTCNCCCGCACGCACCGGGACGAGCGGGCAGGCAGGCATGCAAGCACACACCGGGGCAGGCGTATGAGTAGACAGGCAGGCCCGCACGCACCGGGACGAGCGGGCAGGCAGGCATACGAGCAGGCGAGCAGGCAGGCACGCACACACTGGGGCTTGCGTACGATCAGGATGGCAGGCACACAAGCACTGGCAGGCAGAGAGCCAGGTGGGCGGGCGTACAATCAGGCAGGCAGGTGGGCAGGCAGGCAGGCACACAAGCACTTAGGTGGGCGGGCAGGCAGGAAGGCGGGCGTACGAGCAGGCATGCAGGCGGACATACGTGCAGGCAGGCAGGCAGGCAGATACACACCCACAGGGGTGGGCGTACGATCATGCAGGCAGGCACGCATGCACTGACAGGCAGAAAGGCAGGCAGGCAGGTGCATAAGCAGGCAGGCAGGTGGGCAGGCAGGCAGGCACGCAAGCACTTAGGCGGGCGGACAGGCAGGGGGGCAGGTGGACGTACGAGTAGACAGGCAGTCCCGCATGCACCGGGGCGGGCGGGCGGGCGAGCTGGCAGGCAGTGACACACACCATAACGAGTGGACAGGCAGGCGGGCAGGTAGGCACTCACACAGCGGGGCAGGCGTACGAGCAGGCAGGCAGGCACACAAGCACTTAGGTGGGCGGTAGGCAGGCATGCGGGTGTACGAGCAGGCGGGCAGGCAGATACACTCAAAACCGGGGTGGGTGTACGATCAGGCAGGCAGGCAGGCGGGCATACGAGCAGGCAGGCAGGCAGGCAAGCATACACCGGGGCGGGCGCACGAGTAGACAGGCAGTCCCGTACGCACCAGGGCGGGTGGGCGAGCTGGCAGGCAGGCACCAACGTACCGGTACAAACGGGCAGGCGGGCAGGTAGGCATTCGAGCAGGCAGGCAGGCACACAAGCACGTAGGAGGGCATACGAGTAGATAGGCAGTCCCGCACGTACCTGGGCGGGTGGGCGAGCTGGCAGACTGGCACGCACGCACCGGGATGAGCGGGCAGGCAGGCAGGTGTGCAGTTAGGCATACGAGCAGGCAGGCAGGCGGGCACTCACACACCGGGGCGGGCGTACGAGTAGACAGTTAGGCACACAAGCACTTAGGAGGGTGGGCAGGCAGGCAGGTGGGCGGGTGTATGAGCAGGCATGCGGGCAGGTAGGGGTACGACTAGACAGGCAGGCCCGCACGCACCGGGGCGCACGGGCGAGCTGGCAGGCAGATGGGCAGGTAGGCATACGAACAGGCAGGCAAGCGGGCACTCACACACCGGGGCGGGCGTACAAGTAGACAGTTAGGCACACAAGCACT